AGACATACATACATAAGGAACATACAAGGGTACTATACTAGGCTAATACATAGTGTTCTAGTCACTGAGCTAATACAGACAGGTCAACTTCTTCTCGCTTTTTTGTACAGTGAAAAATGTGGGAGCAGATCATGTTTGTGATACAGGGTTTGTCTAGACGCATCAAAAATATAAATTTATCATTTGCGCTTAGGTGTTCAAAGTATGGGAACTTCTCTTTGATATAATTAAAAAGGACAGATCTTTCATTAGAATATAAAGTACAGTCTAAAATAAAGTGTTGTTCATCTTCTATTCTATTCATGTTACAGTATTGACAGAGTCTGTTCTGGAGAGGAATGCGGTTGTGCCGTCCCGTTTCTATGAGTAATTTGTGGCAACTTATTCGGAGTCTTGTTGCAGCTATCCTGTGTTGTATGTTGTTAGCCGATAGGTACTCTTCTTCTTTATATATAGTTTTAAACAAACGGTACGTTCGTAACTTGTTACTAGAAGATGTACCTCTGTTATGGTCATTGTGGATTTCAGTGATAAATGTTTGGGTGTAAATATCTTTCAATCGTTGGCTGATGGAGTTAATTATTGGTGATAGGTTTGTGCTAAGAGATATATCAGGTCGCCATACGTAAGCAAAACCGCATTCCTCCAAAGTTTTACGAATACCGGACGCCCAGCATTTATTGCCGCTAGTCTCTAGTTGTAGTTGACATGAGAGGGCGTCCGCTTGCAGACTGTCAGCTGGCACGTTTTGGCGTATACGAATGAAATACTTAATGGCATTTAGGGAGGCCTCCAGGTGCATTGGGTACCTCCCTAGTTCCGCCCTTGATGCAAGGTTACAGGCTGATCTAGGAACGTTCAGAGACTGTTTACAAAATTTAAGGTGGACGGATTCAATGGGGCAGAATCTAGGGCTTTTGGCTGAGCCCCAAATTTCTGAGCCGTAAAGTAAAACAGGTTTTACACATGCGTCGAAAAGTTTGTTTTTAACTGATAGTGAGGCGTTGGCTTGATCCAGTGACTGTTTAATTCCGAATAAAGCTTTCAAACCCTTGCAACTCAAGTACTTATTATTTGCTTTAAACGTGCCGGCTGAGTTCACAATAATACCGAGATAAGTATATGACGATACAATTTCAACTACATGATTGTCGAATAAAAACGAGCAATTTTTGGGTAAGCGGCCACCCTTTGTAAATACAATAATTTTAGTTTTTCTAAGATTAACATTTAATTTCCAAAGTGTACAGTAATTTTCCAAATTGTTCAAAGAATATTGTAACCCCTGTTTGGACTCGGAAAAAATTACCAAGTCATCAGCATATAGTAGGCAGGGAACCCTTTTGTTGTGCATAACAGGGGGATAATCAGATACCTCGCTGTTACCTTTATCGCTTTTGATTGGATGTTAAGTTAAACTTATTCTGGTGTCTGATAAGCCTATATGGACTACGTGAATTTGTCACAAGGCTCACTGATAAATCAAACATTAATTCATTAATTCATTCATTCTTTCCTTCATAGATAGCATAAAAAGAAGCATAAAAAGGTTTGTTTTTCACCCCCAGGGGAGCCTGAGGTGAAGTACGTGGCCAACATGCACGGGAACGAGGTGACCGGTCGGGAGATGTTACTCCTCTTCATGCAGTATCTCTGTAACAGGTAAATATTCAGCCTGAATCACATCATCTCCCACTGTCATAACCTTGTTGGATCTTGTGGACATACACTTCTAACTCATGAGAACCATGAGGTTTTACTCCTCTTCACGCAATATCTCTGTAATAGGTAAACGGTAACACCTGACGGGAAGCAAAATAAATCAAGCGCAACTGGATAAATTTTCTGAGGAGTCAGACCTTTCAGATAGCATCCACTACGAGTATCTATCAGCAGTGACTAAGAATCTGAAGACAAGTGCAACGTTGGTCTATATATACCGAGAAATGAGTATCAGTTACTTCAGATTGAGTGTTCGTTGCTAGTAAGTATGAAAGAGATGCTGATTTTTCTTGATTAAACTTATAACCCTAACATTCCGACAGCTATAACAGCGTCAGGCGGGTGAAGCGACTGATAAAAACCACCAGGATCCACATCCTCGCCTCCATGAACCCTGACGGATACGAAATCGCAGCACGGCGGGTAAGAGTCTGGCACAAAGTTTACACACTCGCTCATGGATGACATTTTCTTCTCATCACCTGAGTGGAATAGGAGATATTGTTTTGTGTGTGCGCGCTCTTGCACCGTTGTAAATCATTTACGAAAACCCCAACACTTTCTACAGATCTGTGAATTTCAAGGCCACAAAAACCTCAAAATACTTCTCGGAAGTCTAAAATGTCTGACTTCTTGCTTTGCCTAGTGCATGTATTAGCCTTTGATAACCCTTTCGCCATTTCTGTAAACCACAGACATTGAATGGTACTGCCCATTTTGTCATGTCTGTTAGGGCCCGGATAACAGCTGGATGAGTGGCCGGGAGAACGTCCAGGGCATTGACCTCAACAGAAACTTCCCAGCGCTCAACACCATCGCCTACCGCAGTGACCAACATGGCGGTCCGACTCACCACATTCCTATTCCAGACAGTTACTGGAAAGGGGTATGCGTTCTTTCTTTTTCTTTTTCTTTCTCCTTTATCCCTTCCTGCATCTTTCCTGTCCAATCTCTCAACTATCTTTTTTCTGTTCATCGTTTCATCAGATTGGTAAACCAAATTGGATAAACCAGTTTCGTTCTTT